AAATGGGTAAATTCCTGGAAATACACAACTTAAAAGACTGAACCATGAAGAAATAGAAAATCTGAACAGACCAATAACAAGGAATGACATTGGATCCGTAATTAAAAACATTCCTAAAGTAAAATCCAGCACCAGAAGTTTTCACTGGTGGATTCTACCAAACGTTTAAAAAAGAGTTAATACCAATCCTTTTCAAACCATTCTAAAAATTGAAGAGGAGAGAAAACTTCCAAAATCATTTTATGAGATCAGCGTTACCTTGATACCAAAGCCAGACAATAACACTGCAAGGAAAGAAAATTAGAGGACAATATCACTGATGAACATAGATACAAAAATGTTCAACAAAATATTAGCAAACTGAATTCAACTTCACATTAAAAGAATCATACACCATGATGAAGGTGGATTTATCCATGGGATTCAAGAATGGTTCAACAGAGGCAAATCAGTAAACTTGAAAAACCACATTAACAATATGAAGAGTAGAAATCATATGGTTATCTCAATAGATGCAGAAGAAGCATTTTACAAAATTCAACATCTGTTTGTAATTAAAAAAAACCTCTCAACAAATTAGGTATCAAAGGAACGTACCTCAATGTAATGAAAGTCATACATGAGAAGCCCACAACTAATGTCATACTCGATACTGAAAAGCTGAAAGCTTTTCCTCAAGGATCAGGGAAAGACAAGGATGCTCACTCCCACCACTTGTCTTAAACATAGTACTGGAGGTCCCAGCCAAAGCAATTAGGAAACAAAAGGAAATAAAAGGCATCCAAATAGGAAAGAAAGAAGTAAAGTGGTCTCTGTTTGCAGCTGACGTGATCTTTACATAGAAACCCTAAAGACTCCACCAAAAAACTGTTATAATTAATAAGATAATTCAGTAAAGTTTTGGGGTAGAAAAATAAATATTTGAAAATCGTTTCCATCCATACACTAATGATATAGTATTAGAAAGAGAAATGAAGAAAATGATCCACTTACAATAGCATAAAAAAAAGAAAATATCTAGGAATAAATTTAACAAGGAAGTGAAAGACCTTTACCCTGAAGACTAGACTATAAGATGCAGATGAAATAAATTGAAGACACAAATAATGGAAGGATATTCCATGTTTATGGAGTGGAAGAATTAACATTGTTAAAATGTCCACACAACCAAAAGTGATCTACAGACACAATGCAATACTTATCAAATCTGATCGGTATATTTCAAAGAAATATAAAAAACAATCCTAATATTTATATGGATCCACAGAAGACCCTCACACAGCCCAAGCAATCTTGAGAAAGCAAAACAAAGCTGAGACATCACACTTCCTGATTTCAAACTATATTACAAAGTGATAGCAATGAAAACAATATGATACAGGCATAAAAATAGACACAGATCAATGGAACAGAATCAGCAGTCCAGAAATAAACCCATGAATATATAGTCAACTAATATTTGAGAAGGGAGCCAAGAATACACAATGGGGGAAGGAGTGTCTTTAGTAAATAGTGTTGGAAAAGCTGAATATCCACAAGCAAAAGAATGAAATGAGATGCCTATATTAAATCACTGACGAAAACTAAGGGGATTAAAGACAAATATAAGACTTGAAACCATAAAACTCCTAGAATAAAACATAGAAAAATATCTTTTTGACATTGGTCTGGGAAAAGATATTTTTTTTTGATGTGACACCAGAAGCACAGGCAATAAAGGCTAAAGTAAATAAATAGGACTACATCAAACTAAAAAGCTTCTGTTCAGCGAATCAACAAATAAAGAGGTAACCTAGGGAATGGGAGAAATATTTGTCTGAGTAAAAAAATATCATAAGGCACTTATACAACTCAACAGCAAAACAATCTAATTAAGAAATAGGCAAAGGATCTGAATAGACATTTTTCTGAAGAATACAGGCAAATAGCAAACCAGTACATGAAAAGGTACCCCAAATCACTAATAATCAGGTATATGCAAATAAAAATTACAAGGAGATATCACCTAATTAATTTTTTGATTAAAGTATAATTGTTTTGTTATTCTAAATGCAATTGGTCCTATTATTTAAAACTGGGCACTCACTACCAAAATTATAGTTTCTTACAACTTATTCAACTATTTTGCTCCTGAGTTTCTGCTTTACTCCTGCCACCTAGATATTAATGTCTGCAGGTCCTGAGAGGAGCTCTTTATTTTATATTCCAACTTTGACAAGTTCTGGGCACTATTACATGACTCTCTTTTATGTTTGCCAATCAGCTATCTGTTTTCCTGGGTTAGATTAGGGCTTGAATCTGTAGAAAACTGAGTGGATGCAGAGTGTTCCAAGCCAAAGGAACAGTGTGTGCAAAGCTTTGAAAACAAGGTAATATTTGGGAAATCTCAGGGTGAGCTGATTCTACTCAAGATGTGGGAGAATTTCATGATCTGAGGCTGGATGGGAGGCAAAGGAAAGATTATCCAGGTTAATTCAGGGCATGTTAGCATCTGGATTAACATTATGATTGATGAAAAGTCATGAAGGAGTGTTAAGGAGAGGAATGACATAAATTTATTTGGATTTTTGAAAGTTTTTCTTCCCCTATATGCTGTGCTTGTGATGAACAAGAGAAGATTCAAGAGTCTATGTAGGGTGAAAAATGGCGATGATTGGGATAAGGTGATGGCTGAGAGATGCAGAGCAGAGGACGGATTTGAGATGTATTTTGGAAGTAGAAATCACAGGCAATGCTCCGAAATGTTGGGTGTGAGAAAGAGTAAAAGGTCAACTCACATGTTTGATTTTATATTTATAAGCAAGCAGGCAAATGGCAATGCCTTTTGGTGACGTGGTTCTGGGCAGAGAGAGAGCACTTTGGAAGGACCACCACAACTTTTGAGTGGGACACATTATGGTTGAGCTGCCCATGGACAAGAAAAATGGTATATGTAAGCCACAGAGTTAGATGTATATACATGTGGGATTATACCATATACCAAGAGATATACATGTGGGATTATCTCTATATAAATGATGATATAAAATTGGAAAATAATATGGAATGAAAAGAAAAGAGAGCTAAGGACTGGGCCCTGAAGCATTCCAATCTTTAGGTGTCAGATAGAAGAGAAATAGGCAGCAAAGTTGAAAGAAATAAGGAAGACCTTGAGAATTGAGAGAAAAAAATTTGTTTTCTGGGATTAGCGGTAGATGCATGTTTTATGAAGCCAGAAGCATTTACAATTTTGAGGGTCTTTTTTAAAGAAGAATGTAAAATCATGACTATATAATTCCCATGATCTTTACAATGTCATCACATGAGAGAAAACATGAAGGACAGAAAGCAAGAGTAACAGAGACAGCAGTAAAAACTCACACGGCCAATATGGCTTTCTATTGCAAATTTTGTAAAAATTTATGACCTTAAAACTTACGACCTTGTGAACACATTGGTAGGAATTCACCAGTGCAGTGTAGGCCTCCAAATATCTAATGAACAAATGACAGCTTAGTATTCTTTTGAAACAACTTCCCTCAACCATGTAGCAGAAAAGTGCACACAGATTGGCTGATATCTGAGTTTATTTCAAATATCCTGGATGTTCTCTCCTTTGGGGAGAAGTTTCCAAAGAATTGTTGTTATCATAAGCCACTTAAGCCCAGCAAAGTGTACAGCTATCTTAAACAAATGTACACTTCAGAATAAAAAACTCATACTCATGTTTCCAAGCATCAGTGCTGGAATTTAGGATTTTGACTTTCCGGTAAAGACAAATATCTCTAATTCAGGGTATGCCCATTCTAACTCTTCTTTAAATCACATTTCTTAAGTCATTATCTTTATATAAATAGAACAGTTATAAAATAGGCTAGAGCCAAGGTCTTTTGTTGCTGTTGTTAAGGCGGCATTTTTCACAATGTGGTAGAGAATTTATATAAAATGAGCACAAAATATATAAACAAAGACACATACAAATAAAAGAATTGCTATATAGAAATTGTAACAGAATTTTAGGAGGGGAATCCAAGTGTTTCTCATCAAGTGTGACCTTCTCAACTAAGCTACAAAACTCAACATAAACAAAAACGAAAGCAAATTTATTGAGTTATTTTTGGTGGTGTTACTTTTAAAAATAGTTAACGTATATCTAATTTTATGAACATGTCTTCATACTTGACTTTTAGATAGTATGAAATTTCTTTTTAGTCTGATTATCATTTTTAAATTAATTTTTAATTTCATAAATTATTAGCAAAACTGTAAAATTACAAATAAGAATAAGGCATTTATTGATAATATTTAGCAATGTCACAAGTTTCACAAGTTTTAAGGGGTAATTTCACACATTTCTAACTTGAATTAGAATAATTAACTGTTTATTAGTATCTAGCATAAACTAAAGGTATAATAAGAATAGGTAGTTTTATATTATATGAATATTCAGAATCCCTGGAATACACCTAGCTATGTGTCCTCAAACACGATTCTTCATTTTGCTTCAAGTTTCACTTTGAATTCTTCAAATGCAGAATATAAATTAAGCAGTTTTTAATGTTCCTCTAACTAAAGTGCATTAGAAATCTCTCTTTTGTGTGTTTTGGTTCCCCAATTATATTAAATGAAAATACCAGCTTTTATTTGTGTGAAATTTAAAAGTTGTAGCGTTATTTTTTTTAATGTGAGAGAGTACTTTTATGTTCTGAGAGTACATAAAGTATAACATTAAATTTTATAAATTTCAGCAATAAAATCAGATTTGGTATAAGGTAATTGAATTTACAAATAAATTTTCTGGACACAAAAATTGCTGTTCAATACCTCACTATGTCTCAAAGAGTCTCATATGGATTTAGAGGGCGTATAAACCTAATCCTTAACTTTTTTCAGGCAAGAGGTTTTTATCTAGTGCCTCTCTGTATATGCAGTTGTCAAGCCCTCGTTTTTACAAGACACATATAAAACTTACTTTGGCAATGATTATATTCTTTCATTAAATTGCATGACCTCTTTTATAGGAAAAGAATGCAGTATTCCCCAAATAGACGCCTACTTAAATGTTGAGCCCAAGAAAGACAGATACAAGGTTGGAGATGTGTTGAAATTCTCCTGCAGACAAAGACGTAAAACAGTTGGAGCAGATTCAGTTCAGTGCTACCACTTTGGATGGTCCCCTGGTTTTCCAACATGTAAAGGTGAATATGTATCTTACAATTGCTGACACAAGAATTAGAATTGTGGATATCAACGTTATGTTTCCTCTCCTAATTTTCTGTTGGCTTCCAGTGTGTTCATAATTCACTAAACCAGAGATATATCCATGAAAGACATGTGTTCCATAGTAGATACTTCAGATTTCCTTCTCTAAGGAATTAATCTCCAATTGTTTCTTGCAATGTGCACTGGAAGTCTCCATGGTGTCTGACGCTAAAGGGATTTCTTTTGTTACTTTTCCTTTGCCTACAGTTCCACCATTAACATTGGACATTTTATATGGCATGGGCATTACCTCAGGTTTCACTGAGTATGTTTAAGCAATATTCAAGCAGCTCATTGTCAGTCCAATCACACATGCATAGCTTAATAAAAGCAAATCTATGTTGATCAAATGCTTGACTCAAATGACAATGTTTTCTCAAAAAGTTTTGATAAAATGTTTCCGTAGAATATGAATGTTGCTCTAATTAACATGACCATATTCACTGGATTGCATACATCTTTACAACTTCTAGATTATTGAACGTATTTTCTGGCCTTAAATATACTTTCAATCTGCTAGCTTAGTAGTATAAGTAAGAGAACTGGGAAAGATGAATCTGGTGTACACAGTTTTTTTGTCATTGTTTAAGAATGCTCTAGTAAATTATATAATAAATAATGATTTAATTAAGTAAAAATATCCTCATTTTTCTGGATTTTTAAGTTGCAAACCAATAATTTAACCATTAATTACACAATATTTCTTCTATAGGTCAAGTACAATCGTGTAGTCCACCTCCTCAACTCCCTAATGGGAAAATTAAAGAAGCAAAGAAAGAAGAATATGGACACAATGAAGTGGTGGAATATGTTTGCAGTCCTAGATTTCTGTTGAGGGGTTCTAACAAAGTTCAATGTATTGATGGAGGATGGACAACGTTGCCTGTGTGTATTGGTAATGTATGAAAATATTAATATTTAAAGTTAATCAACACTTTTGTTTGTTTCCATACACAGACATAAATAAACATATTTCTGTGAAATTTTCACAGAGGAGAAGAGTACATGTGGAGATGTACCTGGCCTTCATCATGGCTATGTCGAGCCTTCTGCCCCTCCCTATCGCCATGGAGACTCAGTAGCGTTCACTTGCAAAGAAGCATTTACAATGATTGGACACAGATCAATTACATGTATTCGTGGAACATGGACCCAACTTCCTCAGTGCATTGGTGAGAATGCCCTTCTCAAATTATAATTTAATAGGATTTAATATTTTCACTGTAAAAACTATATTTGAAACCGTATTTTTGAAATTTAGAGATATTCTTGAAAATATCAGGTTTTAATTTATAATGAATCCAAACATTTGTTTTTGATAATTAAATGTGTCTACAGAGACAAATATAACCTAGCGATAGAATTTTATGAATCTTTCTCTTCCCGATATTAACATTGTTTATCTTTATAAGTGTGAAGCTAAATTTTACTTATATTTATATGATTAAAATATGACTACTAATTACCAGGAAATTATAGCTATATTGGCATGAATGCCAGTTTTGTCATTCTATGGCACTCTTTCTTTCAGGCCCTGGACAACTAAAGGAAATAAAGTTGAGAAAATACCCTCTTGCTATACTCCTATAGGAATCTTGCCCCTCAGAGCTTCTGACAATGATACTTGCTCAGTCTGTTTCAAATGCAGCAAAAAGAAGTTAATGAGCCAGGGGTGGGTGGGTGTGCCAAAGCCCCTCTCAGTCAGGAGTGTAGCTCAGTCATAGGAGGCAGTTGAGGTTGGGCCAGGAAACAAATCTGATTGATGCCCTTCACTCTGTAAGAGAATCATTGGGACCATTGGATGACCAAGTCTTTGATGATTACCTGGGAGAATACTGGAGGCCCTCTTTCATTTTTCCTTTAGAATGAGTTCCTTCCTGGAGTTTTCCTCGAATCTACATTGAATGAGACCCCTGGATGTCCACTCTTACTTATTCATCAGATTTCCAGTCATTGATTGTTCCAAGGAGCAGGTAGAGCTCAGCCTCTGCTGCATTAGAGCAGGAAGTCATAGCTGTCTTGTTCACTTACGTGTTCCCAACACCCAAAGATGGGCTGACATACAGGAGACATGCAATAGGAGTTTGTTAAATGAATCAATGAATTTTGTTGCATTAATCCTTAAATTTTCATTAAACATATGCCTGTCAAAAATATTGCCAGTTCTTCAAGAGTAAGCCTCATCTTTGTCCTCTTCTATCTCCACAAATGATCTCATCCCATTATTTATGGGAGAAAAACCCAAAGTAATATCAGGCATGAAAACTCACAACTTTTAATCCCAACTTACACCAAATATCTGCTTCAGTTATTACTCTCCTCTGATCTCAGAGTTTCCCTTTCTCAGATGAGTCCTCTACCTATATTCAGCTTCACATAATCCCCTTCCAGCTGTCATAGGCCTTATTCTGATTTTCTCCTCTCCATGTTCATTTCGTACCTCCCCCTAGTCTAGATTTTCATTCTTCTCAGTTTGTTTATTTTCTCCTAAAAATCAGATGAATCCTTTCAGAAACCAAGAAATCACAGGACATAATGACAACCGCCACCACTCCTATTGATTATAGATCTTCCTTCACTTACCATCTCTTGACGAATATCTAGTTTTTTCTCCCTCAACACTCTAGACCAGTGCCCCAAAGAGGACTAATCCTCAAGCCTCTGGTGTGTTTTGAGTGTCTCCTTTTTAGAAATGTTGTTTCAAGGTTGCCATACAAAATCATTACTGTTTTTGGGCCAATTACTTGACTTTTCTTTATTCTGTTCATTCTCACTTGACTCTGATCTTTAACAAATCCTTAACAATGCTACCAAAAATCTACACTGATATTTTATCAGAGTCAAAAAGACTCTCATCTGTATTGAATTTCTGAAATATGTAGCTATATAGAAAGCTTCTATAGTCAATATTTAACTCATATTGGAACCAGTAAATATTTATTATTTTGGTAATGCAATATTATTGAGTTTTAGGATGATCTGGTGTTTAAAATAGCTTCTTAAAAATTCCAAGATTATGTGTAGAACACAGATCATGACTTTAAACACGCAATTTCTTATTCCAATTATCTATCTCTGTTTAAATATCTGCTTAAATATTCACCTTCTAAACATACATCTCAGATGTACTTTTCCTGCTATATTACATTATCTTTCTTGAAAAAATATATTTAACCTAGCAACTTCATATATTCTAGCTCCACAGGTAATTGTTTTTACTTTAATGTTTTAAGATTGTGGATTAAGAATGATGTAGAGATGCTTGAGATCGAGAAACAAATGAATGTGGCCATTTGCACAGATTTCAGATATGCGATCAAATTTAGTCATGAGCTGACTGTTCACTGTGTAGGTCATCCAAAAAAGTGAACTGCTTATGCTCTTCCAAACTCCAAAATGTCTATATGATGGTTCTTTTCTCTGAAATTTCAAAGACTGGACACAGGGCTTATGTTCATACATAACAGCCTGCCTTATGCAATACGATTGGCAATAACTTGGTTGGTGGTATTTAAAGGCATGCATTCTATTTTCATTATGCTATTGACTGTAGAGCTCTTTTTTGTAGTAGTTGCTTTGATACTTACAATTCTACTTTTCCACGAAACCTTTAATTTTATAGCAACAGATAAGCTTGAGAAGTGTAAGTTACCAAAGTTAACTGCACGTGAGGCAGAGCTATCAGATAACGTTGAATTTAATCATAACACCAACATAAGTTACAAATGTAAAGGAAAATACAAGCACTCAATCTGCATTAATGGAAGATGGGATCCTGAACTAACCTGTACGGGTAAGCTCTTATTTGTAATCTTTTCAAAATTTTATTCTATTTCTTCCTAAAGTGTGAAAGTGAAAAATTTAGGTATTTATTATTACAAATAATTTTCAACCTGGAAGGTAATTCAGAAATTAACCAAAACATTGTTTCTACATTGTTAATTGTATCACATGCGGTAATCAGCTATATAACAAACCACCCAGAAACTTGGTGGCTTTAAATTAACATCTGGGCAGTAGGTGTGCTCATTACTATCAGAACAACATTGCCTCTAAATCCTTATGTTACACACAAATCTGTCTATGCCTATGCCTGTGACCACTGTGTATCAGTATATCTATATACGTATCTATGTTTGTATGTATCTATGTATCTATCCATCATCTGTTTACCTATTTATCTATATCAATGTTGAAAACTCTGAGTCATATTGATACCACTGATTTCAGTTGAATAGAGCAGCGTTCATTCCAGTTTTCCACTTTTCATATCTGTATTTGTATCCTCTAAGTTTAGGATACCTTGAGTCACTATCCTCAATATTTTTACCAATTTCCTCAAGCCTAAAATACACAGAAAATAGTATCATACTAATGTAAAAACAAATCTCCTATCTACAGTTTAACATATCTTTAGTTCTTTTTTAAAAGAAATAAGCAATATTTACAGGCAGTAAAGTACACATGTTCTACATTTTCTTCTAGAAGCTGTATAGTTTTAGCATTTATATTTAGGTATATTATCCATCTTACATTAATTTTTGAGTATGGTGTAATATAGGGATTGGTGTTCTCTATCATATATAGATAGCCAGTTGTTTTAGCAGTATGTCTGGAAAAGTTATTTTTTTTATCGTGGTCATAACATTTTATAACATTGTGAAATTTCAGTTGTTCATTAATATTTGTCAGACACCCTATAAATGTGCCCCGTTACCCCTTGTGCCCACCCCTCCTCACTTCCCCCTGGTAACCACTAAATTCTCCTCTTTGTCCGTAAGTTTGTTTATGTGTGGAGAAGGTTTTGAAGTGAAAATGAATTGACTATGGAAGTGTTGATTTACTTCTAGACTCTCTATTCAGTCCATTTATCCATTTCTCTCTCCTTAGCGCTGACACATTACCTTGGTAACTGTAGCTTTATAGTAAATCTTGAAGTCTGATCGATATATTCTCCAATTATGTTCTTCCTTTTCAAGATTATTTTAGTTCTTCTGGTGTTTTCATTAACAGAAATTTCAGGAAACACATCAATTTCTATAAAATGTCTGTTTGTATAATGAAAGAGATGGCTTGTATAATGAAAGATAAATTAGGAAGAATTGACATCTTAACCATATTGAGTGTTCAATCCATAAGCATGATATCTATCTTCAATTATTTATTTCTGGTTCTATTTTCTCGGCAATGTTTTAAGTATAGACGATTTGCAGTTTAAAATATTTATTCATATTTTATATTTTTCATGTTACAAATGCAATTTTAACACATATTTTCCAATATTTTTGCTGCAGGTATAAAGAAATGCACTTCATTTTTATATATTAATTTTTATCCTCTGAAACTATACTAAGGTGGCTTATTCATTTTGAGTGTTCTTTGTAAGCAGCTATGTCATAGCAAATGCAAGATTTTTTTTCTGTTGGTCCATTTTTATTTTGAGTTTTTGTTTCTTTTCTTATCCTATTGCACTGACTAGGACCTCTAGGAAATTGTTGTAAGCAAGTGATAATAATAAACATATTTGTCTTATTCCTGACTACTGGGAGAAGATATTCAAAATTTAACTACAATTATAATGTCAGTTTAGAACTTTTTTTAGATGCTTTATCAGATTAGGGGAATCCTTTATCAGATTAGGGGAATCTCCTTCTGGTCCGACTTAGCTCAGTGAGAAATTGTACCGTCAACCAGTGTTGAATGTTTTTAAATGCTTTTTATGCATCTAGAGGTGTGATGATATGACTCTGAATTTTGTTAATGTGGTGAATTACCTCTATAAATTTTTGAATGTTGAACAAATCTCTCATTCCTAGAGTTGTCTACTTGGGGGTGAGATATTATTCTCTCTCTATTTTCATGTATTTGAGTTGCTCATATACTTTCAACGATTCGTGTGTCTTTATTCATGGGGATATTGATCTACATTACTTTTTCTTGTAATGTCTCTGCCGGGTTTTGTTATCAGGGATTTTGTGGCCTCGAAAAGCAAATTGAGAAGAGTTCACTGCTCCTTTGCTTTCAAAAGTACATGTGTAAAATTGTTACACATAATATTATTGTATTATTTTTCCCTTAAATGATCAATAGAATTCACCTGTAAAGTTGTCTGATATGTAGTTTGCTTTTTTGGAAGGTTTACCTGGTGAAGAATTTAATTTCTTGAAGAAGTAGTGGGTTATTTAGATTTTCCCTATTTTCTTTTGTCAAAACGTAAGCAAGTTGTATTTTTCGAGAAATATCTCCATTTTATCTAATTTATCAAATTTATTGGCATACAATTGTTTCTAACAGTCACCTAATCTTCTATTTTCCTTTTAATTTTATAGTTTGTCTGGTGATATCACTTCTTTCATTCTGATATTAACATTTGTCTCCCTCTTTTATTTTGATCATTCTTTACAGAGCTTTTTAAACTATTTTCAAATAATTGATTTTAACACTCTTAATTTTCCCTCTTCTATTTTTTAGCTTTACTAACATTCGCTATTTTTAGCTTTGTTAATTTTCTCTGTTCCCTCTCTTCTTTCTCTTTTTCCTCTCTTCCGTGGAATTATTGTTTTCTTACTTCTTATTACTTTGATTTCAATTTTACTCTTTTTTCCGTTTAAGTAGAAAATGAAAACATGGATTTAAACTATCCTACTTTTTAAATGTAAATCTTTAAAACTACATTTTTCTTTCTAAATACTGCTTTAGCTATGTTGCAAAAAAATTTATATCCATTTTATTTTCATTTAATTCGATGTGAAATATTTTCTAAAATTCTTTTTGATTTCTTCTTTGACTTGTCCGTTATTGAGATATTTGTTGTTGCTTTCCAAATATTAAGGTTTTCCAAATAATTTATTTCCTTTTAACAGCTTTATTGTGGTATGATCTTTGTATAAAGAATTGCATATATTTATTGTGTACAAATTGATGAGTATCATGGATGTTTGCCTAGATAAATTATTCTTATTTATTGCTAATGTAATTCTGTTGTCACAGAATATATTCTGTAAGATTGCAATGCTTTTAAATTTATTCACGTTTTTAAATTTTTAAAATTTTATTTATTTTTGTTTATATTATTCCTTTATTATATATATATTTTTTTATTTTTATTTTTCATTGTGGTAACATTGGTTTTTAACATTATATAAATTCCAAGTGCATGTCATAATGTATTTCAATTTCTGTGTAGATTACAACATGTTTACCACCCAAAACTAATTACAATCCATCACCACGCACATGTACCTAATCACCCCTTTCACCCTCCTCCTTCTCCACTTCCTGTCTGGTAAGCACCATCCAGTCTCTGTTTCTATGTGTTTGTCATTGTTCTTATGAGTGAGATCTTCTACTTGTGAGTGAGATCATCTGGTATTTGACTTTGTCCCTCTGACTTATTTCACTTAACATAACACCCTCAAGGTCCATCCATGTTGTCACAAACAGCTGAATTTCATCATTTCTTATGGCTGAGTAGTATTCCATTGTGCATATATACATCTTCTTTATCCATTTGTCCCCTGATGGGACCCTGGGTTGCTTTTCTTGTCTATTGTGAAGAGTGCTGCAATGAACATAGGGGTGCACGTATCTTTATGCATTCATCTTTTCATGTTCTTTGGATAAATACTCAGCAGTGGAATAGCTGGGTCATATGGTAGATCCATTTTTAATCTTTTTAAAAAGATTTTTAAAAAAACTTTTCCATTTTGCCCCAAAGCCCCCCAGTACATAGTTGTGTATTTTTAGTTGTGGGTCCTTCTAGTTGTGGCATGTGGGATGCTGCCTCAGCATGGCTTGATGAGCGGTGCCATGTCTGCGCCCAGGATTCAAACTGGCAAAACCCTGAGCACTGAAGCATAGCGTATGAACTTAACCACTCTGCCACGGGGCTGGCCCCTTATTTTTAATTTTTTGAGGATCCCTCTACTGTTTTCCATAGTGGCTGCACCAGTTTGCACTCCCACCACGGGAGTGTTTCAGGGTTCCCTTCTCTCCACATCCTCTCCAACACTTATTGTTTCCTGTCTTGTTCATTATAGTCATTCTGATGAGAGTGAGGTGATATATCATTGTAATTTTGATTTGCTTTTCCCTGATAATTAATGTCATTGAACATCTTTTCATGTGCCTGTTAGCCATCTGTATATCTTCTTTGGAGAAATGTCTGTTTGGATCTTTTGCCCAGTTTTTAATTGGGTTGTTAGATTTTTTTGTTGTTGAGATGTATGAGTCCTTTGTATATTTTGGATATTAACCACTTATCTGATATGTGGTTTGCAAATATCTTCTCCCAATTGTTAGGTTGTCTTTTCGTTTTGTTGATGGTTTCCTTTGCTGTGCAGAAGCTTTTTTGTTTGATGTAGTTGTGTTTTATATTATTTCCCTTGCACAGTCAGACATGGTACTTGAAAATATGCTGCTAAGACCAATGTTGAAGAGCGTACTACCTATGTTTTCTTCTAGAAGTCTCATGGTTTCAGGTCTTACATTCAAGTCTTTAGTCCATTTTGAGTTAATTTTTGTGTATGGTGTAAGATAGTGGTCTACTTGCATCTTTTTTGCATGTGGCTGTCCAGTTTTCCCAATACCATTTACTGAAGAGACTTTCCTTTCTCCATTGTCCATTGTACGTTCTTGGTTCTCTTGTTGAAAATGAGCCATTCATAGACATGTGGGTTTATTTCTGGGCTCTCAACTCTGTTCCATTCATCTGTGTGTCTGTTTTTGTGCCAGTACCATGCAGGTTTTGGTTACTATTGCTTTGTAGCATATTTTGAAATCAGAGAATGTGATATCTCCAGTTTTGTGCTTTTTTCTCAGGATTTCTGTGGCTATTCAGGGTCTTTGGTTGTTTTATTTAATTTTAGGACTCTTTGTTCTATTTCTGCGAAAAATGTTGTTGGAACTTTGATAGGGATTTCATTGGGCCTGTAGATTGCTTTAGAAAGTATGGGCATTTTAACTGCGTTAATTCTTCCAACACAACAACGCGGAATATCTTTCCATTTCTTTGTATCTTCGATTTGTTTCAACAATGTTTTATAGTTTTCGGTGTCCAGATCTTTCACCTCTTTTGTTAAGTTTATTCCTAGGTATTTTATTCTTTTTGTTACAATTGTAAATGGGATTGTATTCTTAATTTCTCTTTCCGCTGCTTCATTGTCAGTGAATAGAAACACAACTGATTTTTGTATGTTGATTTTGTATCTTCATGCTTTTTTTATTGCACAGCTTATTTCCTATCTTTGTGATGCTTTCATTCTCATATAAAAGCGTATGTATACTCTAGTTGTTGGATCAGGTTAAAGTGGTTCATGGTGTTCTTCAAATTTATATATGTCCTTTCAAAATTTTTTGTCTGGTTGTTCTATCAGTCAGAGCAAGACGGCTATCAGTATTGCTAACTAGGATGGTGGATTTGATTATTTCTTCCTTTGGTTTTGTCCATCTTTGCTTCACATATTTAATGCATTTTAGATACATATGCATTTATGATAAATTTGCCCTTGTAAATTATCAGTTTATAATGATAAAATATTTCTGGATAATTTTTGTAATACTTCTGTCTTGAAGTCTATATTATTTTAACACACTCGATTAATTTGAAACAATTGCTCATTTCCATGTGATAAAGGAATTCCAAACAGATTTCAAATGATCAGTGTTGTCAAACCATTCTCTCTAAATTGAAAGCAAAAAGAAAATAATAAGAGAACTAACTACACACCTTATTCACTTATCTTACAAATCTGTAAAAAAATCCTTTATGAATGATTAAATAACAGAAAATATTTTAAATAAAATGACAATGGTAGCAGTACACATTGAAATATATGGGATACAGCAAGGGCAGAGATATTTATAGCTTTAAAACATGCATTATGAAACAAAGAACGAAATAAAAGCAATAAGGATTAAAATCCAGAAGCTAGAAAGGAACATGCACCCAAAGAACATAGAAGGAAAGAATAATTAAAGCATCAATTATTATGACAAAATCTTAAAAAAGCATAAATGGCTAATTTTCAGAATAATAATTCAGCTTTTAGGGAAATTTAATAAATAGACCAACCTCTGGCAAAACATATCAAGAAAAAGTTCAAATTAAGATTATTAGGACAAAGGTGGTTAAATATCAGACACAGAAGAAAATAAATCCTTGAGAATATATAGAAAAAACATGCCAAGATATTTAAGACAGAAGTATGAAAAATATTTTTGATGGAATATAAAACACTCCTATTGAGTTAGATAGAAATATGACAATATTAGTAAGCATGAGTGAAGTGTATTCAGTCAAACATTTCCTTGAATTGAATAGAAAATGTTGGCCAATTGAAAGGATTTACTAGCCTTCCTGTTGTATACCCAGTGTAATGAAATAAAGATCCAGTATGAAGAAGACCATATGAAATTTTATTATTTCATCAACATTTCATTCTTTCATCCTTTTTTCATTGTTTTCAAATTCATTGTCTTTAATGAAATAAAGACACAGTATGACAAGAAAACATAAAACCAAGAAATCATGGAGAGGTCCTAAGTTTTCCAGGGATAGTCATCCAGAGTCTTCCCTCAGTTGAACACGACATGCTCTGTCTTCAGATTGGGAACTGCCAAGATACATCTGCAGTATCTCAGTTTTATACAAGTTTACAGAGGGACGTTTTATAGCTTGCTGGTCATGTAACTAAAGCCAGGCTATCTTACCTGTTCAACCGGGTGCATTTCATCAATCCATATATCCGTTAACAGTGTAGGCAAGCTGGTAAACAGTTCCTCCAGGGGAGTTTTCAACTTTTAACAACACACTAGAAACCATTAGTGAACATACCTAATTCTTATCTTGGCCAAGAAGCTCTATCAAATTATTTGAACATTAACTACATATATTTCTTCCTCTAGCTAATCAGCTTCCATTGGTAGAACATCTTGTGAGGGTTTTAATCCAATCCCAGTGTATTTGCTCATGGATATCTGTAAAAAAGATCCCAGGGGCCAGCCCCATTGCTTAATGGTTAAGTTCCAGTGCTCTGCTTTGATGTCTGAGGGTTTTGAGGTTCGGATCCTGGGTGTAGATATGTCACCACTCATCAAGCCATGCTGAGACAGCATCCCACATAGCACAACCAGAAGGACCACAACTACAATATACAACTATGTAGTGGGGGGCTTTGGGGAGAAAAGAAGGGAAAATAAATGAAGATTGGCTACAGATGTTAGCTCAAGTACCAATCTTTTTTTTTTTTTTAAAGATTTTATTTTTTTCCTTTTTCTCCCCAAAGCCCCCCGGTACATAGTTGTATATTCTTCGTTGTGGGTCCTTCTAGTTGTGGCATGTGGGACGCTGCCTCAGCGTGGTCTGATGAGCAGTGCCATGTCCGCTCCCAGGATTCGAACCAACGAAACACTGGGCCGCCTGCAGCAGAGCGCGTGAACTTAACCACTCGGCCACGGGGCCAGCCCCTCAAGTGTCAATCTTTAAAACAAAAATGGGGCCCACCCCGTGGTTAAGTCCGCGTGCTCCACTGCTATGGCCCAGGATTTCACTGGTTCGGATCCTGGGTGCGGATGTGGCACTGCTTGTCAGGACTCGTCGAGGGGGTGTCCCACATGACACAACTAGAAGGACCTGCAGCTAAGATATACAGCTATGTACCGGGGGGTTGGGGGAGAAAAAGCAGAAAAATAAAAAAGAAAATTGAAAGATTGGCAACAATTGTTAGCTCAGGTGCTGATCTTTAAAATTAAAAAAAAGATTGGCAAAAGTTGTTGGCTCAGGTGCCGAACTTTAAAATAAAAAAAAAAGCTTGGCAACAGTTGTTAGCTCAGGTGCCGATCGTTAAAAAAAATAAAGAAAACAAACCAAAAAAAAAAAAAAAAAACCAAACCTGTGATTAAAAAAGAAAAATCCCAGTATCAGTCTTTAGTTGGTGCCTGGGGTTGAATGAGTAACTCAGAACATCCAAAGGTTAGGAATAATCAAAATAGATTTTTCATAAATTATGCAAGATTGATTACAGAAAGTAGAAAAGGAAGAAACTCCAAGGAAGACCGTGGTAATGTAAACTAAACATGATAGATTAAAGGGCTATATAAGATGAAAAGTATAACATACTGAAACACAGAACATAACATAAATGTTTAATCTTTTATGGTACATTATTATTGAGTTTTCTACTTATTGACTTATTTGAATATTTTTAACTTATGACTTTTAATGAGGAAATCTAATTTTAATATTTTTAGAAGTACAAATACAGTCGTGCCCACCTCCACCTCAGATTCCCAATGCTCAAGATATGACAAGTACAGTGAATTATCGAGATGGAGAAAAAATATCTGTTCTCTGTCAAGAAAAATATCTAATTCGGGGAGCAGAAGAAATTGTGTGCAAAGACGGAAGATGGCAGTCAATACCACGCTGCGTGGGTCAGTAGCGCATGACTTGTTTCATGACATTCTTTCAAATAAACTAATACTCCCCTGTGCTTTGTGTAGATGAACAATATGAAGACCTTTCTCTATATCTGTTCCACTTTACCTTGAAACAGTGAATTGCAATCTAGGTACACAAATCAATCAGCATTCTTTCACTTCTACTGCGAAATTAATACAGACAAAAACTTTGAATTATTATGTAAGTATCAGACAACATTTCTGTTTAGGACTATTTTACTCCTCATGATGAACAGGACAAGAATGAAGTGGCATATTGAAGACGTGCATAGTAGCATAGATTTTTTGGAGCACCAAAATGCTTAGGTAAATGTTATAGTAGTCTTACAGGTCCTGGGAAAAAGAGTGTAATGAGGATTATGCTGTGCTGATAATAAAATTTTCATGGATTAACAACAAACCATTCTGTTGAATGCTTTCTACCAAAGGGTAATATGTGACAAAATAAAGTTTAACAAATTCTTGTTTAAGCAACAACAGCAACAAAGAGTTTTTTAATGAAAGCTCTTCATGTGATAATTGAATTATGAATCTTTGATTATAACCTTTGATTATCACATTAAACATAGTATCTTATTTTTACATCATTAATTAATTAAAATGATTTAAATCTACATGATGGATTTTCAATGAGTTGGTTTACAAAAGGTTTTAAGAATGATGTCCTTGACTGGCATACAAGATTCTACTTGAGTCTGAAATATTGTGGAAAATATTTATATACTCCCTAATGTTTTATGTTCCTATTTTTCACCTTCAGGTGCATGAGTAATATCAGAAGAAATCATTGAAAAACAGAAGATACAACTACAATGGAAAATTGAGAAAAAAATTTATTCTAAAACAGAAGATGCTGTTGAATTTATGTGTAGACCTGGATATCATAAAAAGACCACCTGAAACATTTCCAGCAACCTGTCAGGAAAGAAAACTGTTGTATCCCACCTGTGGATAGAAGGATGGTTAAAATACAGTCATAAAATTCACATACATAAATTTATTTATAATTTTTCCCTATTAATCCAGCTCTCAGTTTATTTCTTCAAGTATTGTTTAACTCGTTTTTACTTGTACAACTGAATTTGGGTTAAATATTATGTGGATGATATGATTATATCTGAGAAAGCAATGAATCACTTCTAAAAGGACTTCATTTAAACTTCACAAACCAAAGTGCTCTGTGTCCTGTTTATCAAATATCTATGGCTAGAAACTAGATGCAACCACTTCAGTGCCTGTTTCCATCCATCCTTCTCCCAACTTTCTCAAAGCTTCTCCATAACTTCTGAAACCTTCTGAGAATTTCTATTTCAGAGGAGATGGGAACAAAAGCTTGTTTCTATCTTCAAAATAGTGCCACTTCTTCACAAAAACGTTAAAACCAAACTATGTCATACCTATGCTAGTAATAATATGTAAGTAGTTATTACTTACTTTTGCTTACTTATCAATAGATGAATATACCAAAGAAAACGATGAAATGCATAATCTTCTACAAGGTGTCTATCTAACACACACCATAATTCAAACAAATCATAAAGAGAAAATAGAATCTAACTGGGTGCATAATTGGCATAACTTTGACATGAAATGTGATAAAAATTCCAATATCAAGTATAAACACACACACACTATGCCTTCAGCACTGAATAAATGTTTATAGAACAAAGATTGGCAGGAAGTGCAATAAAATACTTACCATAACTAGAGTTGAATATAGATGGTAAGAGTTGGTGTTTAACTCTTTATACTTAGTTGTGTTCTCCAATTTTTTGACCTTTAATGTATATCACCTTTGAACCACAAATATACGATTTAAAATAAAGATATGTAAAAAGTAAGACAATACTGGTGGAGAGCTATAAAGACCTCTTTGGTAATGATCTTCAGATCTAATAGCTTTTTCATGATTTTGCGGCTATAGAGAGTTTTGGAATTATCAACCACAAGAGTCTGAAATACGATTTTTGTGCTCATATATTTCAAACAGCATAATTAGTTAAAATTGGTTGACTAAAACATTTTTTGTTTCTACGAAAACATGAAAACTTTAAGATGAAAATAAAGATATAATTAATTAAGGCAAAAATATTTTAAGGTGATATCTTGTTACTTCTATTGCATCAAATCAAGTGACAATCTTAGAATGAGAGATCTGGCTGTCACCAATGGAGCCAATTTATATAAATCTGAATCACTGGTGACAGCCAATTTTCTCACATTTAAAGGAATATTGTCACAATTGGCAAGTAATCTTTGCTGTTAATGTTAATATTTGTATATATATTATTCTCCAAAATATTTCACAGAATAGTTGTGGAATCTATTTATGACACTTTCCTATAATCAAATATTTCATCATTGTCTGTAAAATAGGGATTTTAAAGGTCAATCATCATTTTTCTGCATTTGTTGATTATTATTCTTGTGTAAAGATGTCTTAATTTACAAACCCTGTTTAAATTAAACTTGTACCTAAAAGATTTGATAAATCTCTACTTTGACCCTTAATTTCCAATTTTTGGAGTAAGGATTTGATGTAATAGTGAGCTTCCATGATGGAGATAAAGATGTTTTTCTTTCTTTTTTAAAAATGTTGCGTGTATCAGCATGGAACATGAATTTTTACTTATTCAATTTGTTACAATCAATTATAATCATTATTCTGTTGAAGATCAAATTATCCCACATTTGGCAAGTGGTGACCGTTTGGAACCAACTCCTGATTGCTTTTGTTGTATCCCCATTAGTCTGAGCATTTGTCTTCTTTTTAGCACAACACCATCATCCAGGCTCATTGTCAACTTCCCGTGCCCACCACCCATAATCATACCTCTTTCAAAGAAGGTCTGATTCTTTTTCTATGGCAGTAGTGTTTAGAAGCCAAGGGTTGTGCTAATGCTGCTAGATGAGAGTTTTCAGCAGTGTTGAAATGTCTTTACTTCCAGGGTCTTTTGGTTGTCAGATCTTTGAAATACAAACAAAATTTACAATTATCAATTCCTATTGGATTTTACAATTCAAGTTTAATAATACAGCTTAAAAAAGCTTTTTAGTACTTTTTCTCTCTCTTCTATTTACTTACATATATATTTGTTTTTCAATATCCGTGAAAACAATATCAAAGAGATAATGCAAACATTACTATTAGCAATTAAACCAGTGAATGAAGGTCCAAATGTCTGCATTTATTTTGTCCCAAGATGTTTGACTCTGAGTGTAACATCTTTAAACAAGACTTGAAAAAATTCTTATCTCTGGTTGGCTCACTTACCAAATTAATAGAATTTTATGCTTATTTGCAGTAGTATTTTTTTGTAATCTTAGATTTTTTCTTCTTCCTCTTTTACTCTAATCTTTTTTGAATGTGAAACACACCTACATGTTTTAAAAGTCGAAGTGATATGAGAAAAGACTATGCAGAATAGTCTTACTTCTGTCAAATCTGTTCCCTCATTTAATAAACTTATATTAGTTTCTGACATCCCTCTTTTGTTCATTAATCTTTTTTTATTGAGAAGGGAGGTTACCTTACACATTTATCTGTATTTTGCTGTTTTCATTTTAGAATGGATCTCACTCAGACCATTCTGATATTTTACTATTACAGATAAGGAATGATATGATGAATACACTTGTGTGGACCTATTGCCAAGGATGTATTTCTGGAAGTGAAATGAATGGATCATTGGGCAAATGTATTTGTAAGTTTCTTAGATATTTCAAATTCTTTTCCATAATGGCGTTATACATTATTCTGTAATGTTCTAGAGAGCCTCTTTTCCTTGGCCTTGCCAACTGAGGGTTTTGTCAACCTTTTGGATGTGTTTCCTGCTTGGCAGATAATAAATAGTACCCCTGTGTAGTTTTCATGTGTATTTTCTTATTACAAATGTGCTTATTTTCATTTACGATATCTGAAGTCCATTTGTTTTGTTTTGTTTTTACCTCTTAATTTTCTGATGACAACTCTAGCCCCTTTTTCCTATTATTCTTCTTTCCTTTAGAAATAATGAGATTATCACTTTTCATTTCTCATTTCTATGATATGAATTAGACATATTTTCCAAGTTTTTATTTGGCTTTTGAGTTCATGTTAATTTTTCTAGGCACAAATTCAAAAATTTTATGCACATAATTATCAATCATTTTTTACTTCCTCAAATTCTGAGTCATAAATTTTTGTGTCCTATTCTTAACAAATGCACCCATTATTTTTGTATTGAAAGTGTGTTTTTTCTTCTTACTTGGAAACGTTTAAACTTAAAAATGATGTGGAAGCGTGCTATATTTTAAATTTTTTTAAATGGCTCTGCAATTCTTTCAACAGTATTTATTAAAAACAATGTCATCCTAGTCATTTGAATTGTGACTTTAATCATATAACAATTTCTTTGGGCATGTGTACCTTTTCATTCTTTCTATTCTAATCCACTTTCTGGCTGTCCAGTCCTGTGCCAGCACCAACTATATAATTGTAAAGGCTTCTTAGATGTGATATGCAGTTGGACAAGCCATCATCTAATTTTTTCTTTGTTTTTAAAGCTTTCGTGGCTATTTTTACTTATCCCTAGGAACCTTAGAATGAACTTGTCTGACTCTAAAATAAAAGCTGTAGGTATTTGCATTGTCCACTCTACTTGAAGATTAGTAGTAGTCTTTGGTTCAGGCATTCATACTAACATGAAACTAATAGACCATTCTGGCAAAAGTGATCCCAGAGTTGCTAAGAAGTTAAGGGCAGTAAATACAGCATGTCTTGAAGGACAGCACCAGGAGTCCCTGCAGCCATCCTGGTCTGTACTGCATCTCCCCCAGGTGACATCTTGTAACCAGGAAAGGAAATCTGTGTGTCAGTGAGGGTGTCGTCTAATTTTGGACTCTTCCTCTCCACAGGAGTCCATATCTCTCAAAAAAGAACTTGAGCAGAGCTTCCAGCACCTGGCAAGAGGGACATTGATATACAAATCATA